GCGTTAAGCTGCGAGACCCCCTCCCCGGGGCGATGCGAACGCGCTGGCTCAGCCGGAGGGAGGGCAGGCGGGCTGTGAAGCTGCTGGATGGATGCAAACGTGCTCCATCTTGGGCCGCTCTCTCCAAGGGAAGGGGCAGCTGGGCTTTTTTTAAAAGCATCCTTGGAACTAAAGTTTTCCCCAACAGAACAAGAAATAGAGCAAGCTCCGGACTGCCTACCCATGGCCATGTCACGTTGGTGGTTATCTAATCATCTCGGAGGTGTGGATAAGGTGGTTCCCGAGCGAAGGAAGGAGCTGTAAGCCCGGCTCAGCCTTGGAGTTTGGCAGCAGCAGCGATCCCACCCCAGTACAAGCCCCAGCCCCGCTCCGACCAGCCGGACCTCTTCCCTCCGCTGTTCCCAACCACGCAGCCGAAGCGCTCGCAAACTTCCAAGCACGCTGACCCAAAACGCTGCTCTTTAGTCACAGCCTTGCTCTGCCGGGACCTTCTTCCTCTGCCGTGGAGGTGCCGTGGCCGCGGGGAGGTGCCCTGGACCTTGAGGGCACCCCTGGGTGCGCTGGGGCACGTGCCCGGCACAGCCTGCACGGAGCGGGGCAGCGCCGGGAGCTCTGCAGCGATGGGACGTGGCTCCGGCCACCCCGGGGGTGTTGCAAGCAGCACCCCGAGGTTCCCCCCGTCTCCTCGTGGCAATGCATCTCTGCCGCTCTCCTGGATGCAGCCTGTACCGCCCACACCGGTGGGACCCGAACGCGGTCGCGGCCGCCTGACAAACAACCTGCCGTCGCGGTTCCCGACAGCGGCACCGTCCCGGGCGGCGGAGGGGACAGTTATGCTCACGGGGTGTGTGGCCAAGAGAGCTCTGCTGCCTGCGGGGAGAGGCTGAGCAGCCTACAAAAGGCGTAATTACTTCTGGATGTAAAGCATTAACCTCCCAAAATTCACTGCCACCACCAATTATATGTTTTCTTCGCGCGCACCGCCCGTTCTTATGAGAGAACTGGGCTGGGGAGGCTCCTGAGAGCGGCAAAACAAACACCCCCCAACACACACAGACCCACGCAAGAGGATTTGCTCGTCAGAAGACAGAGGAGCTCTTTGTGCTGGGTTCTGGCCGGAACACACTGCTGCTTATTTTTTTTTTTTTTTTCTTCTGTAGCAGGATCAGGGAATTAGATCTAGCGATAAGCGAGCAGAACCGGCTGCTTGTTCTGAGTGTTAGACCCTGAAAGAATTCCTTTGTAATTGGAATATGCCGCAAAAATTAGATTTCAACACCCACACTCTGACAGATCCAATCCTTCCGCGCAGGAGGAGTTTAATATTTTGGTCTCAGCTTTGCATTATTTGCTGCTTAAAATACATTTCAGTAAGTGGTGGGTTTGGAACAGCAGTACCCTCGATTCTTTGAATCTGGATAACTTTATAGCCAGAGTTTTTCACTGTCAGGAAGCAAAGACACCAGCTGAGGTTGGGGTTTTTTTAGGCTTCTGCAAGCCACACAGTATTACTGCGCACCTGAATATTCGCAACGTGAAATATAAACCTCTTTCCAGGCTGTAAGAGGGTACCGCCTGCTTGGTCAGGATTGCTGCAATGCTCCTCGCTGCCTCCCGCACGAGTTCGAGAGAGCAAAACGCTCCTGGGGAAGCGAAAGTCTTGCTCAAACTTGACCCCCAGAGCTGGAGCCGCCGGCGGGAGCAGCCTGGCCCAGCTCTACCCAGCGGGGTCGACAGAGCTCGTTCCTCTGCGAGGATGCCCGCCATCGCCAGGCCCTTGGAAGAAATAATTTGCTGCGGTCCAAACAGCGTTTGCAGACACATAAAGCGGCTGCCCAGGGGTTGGCACCCGCCGAGCCCCGGCTCGCAGGGAGGCAAAGGTCACCCAGAGCTCGTCGGAGGCTGCAGAGAGGATCTACGCAGAAACAAGAAGTTCATTTTCCTGCCCACTAGTCCTCTGATGCAATTATGGCTCTAACGCGTTCATCCGACTCAGGAAAGGGGAAAAAAAATCAGTGTCGAAAAATCCCGGTTTTTGTGATTCAGAAGGATTTTACTGTTCCTTCCTTCTGCTGAGTAACACAGCAGTTCAGCCGCAAACTAAAAATACGACTGAGCGTTTAAACTGAAAAGCATGGTATTGGAAAAGCTGTTTTTCAGTGGCGTATACATCTTCCCCCAATAAAAATGCTTTTAGAAGAAGCTATTTTTTAATCCAAAATAAAAGGCCGGTTCGCGCGGCTGCTGTGACAGCTGCCATAACTGTCCTTTGCAGAGCTCGCTGAGCCCTCAAACATCAAAGAGGCACTGGGTAGCAATTAATGCTAATTGCTTTATATGAAGAGGCTACTTTCTTTTAAGCCCGGTGCTACTACCAGTGTTCTGCCCCGTCTCTCCAGCAGCGTTAAAGACCCTCAGCGCTTTGCTGCGGGAGGTGGAGCAGCCGGACCCCCTCTGCCGTGCAGCTGCCGGCGAAGGGCTTCGACCCGGCGGGCTCGGCAGACAACCGGGGGGTCGCAGGGGCCGTCCC